TGAACCTTGGGAGGGACTTGCCTTTTCACCGGGACTGAATGCTAAAAGGCTAGAGAACAAAGTGACTGAAGAACTGGAGCTGTGTGTCTAGATCAGCAAGCAGAAGTCACAGTGCCAGCCTTAGAAGGGTGTATTCATGTGCCAGTAGGAATGGGGCCAGGTAAGCTTGAAGTGCAAATTACATGCTCACCGACAAAACCATTGATGTTCACAGTTTGCCCATAATTGACTCTCATGACTGGAGTTACCACCTCATTGATAAATGTCTGGGAGAAGCCAGTCTTCTGCAAAGCCTTGCCAATAGTCTCATTCAGGAGCTGCAGGAAGTAATCCCCTCCCAGGGCACTGACTAGCTTCTCTGTGCTGGTGAAGGCATAGTCATTATCCTGGTAGCGGTAGATCCTTTATTCAAAAGGAGAGAGGAATGTGAATCAGAAAATACGTTTATATGGGTAGCAGTGTTTCTGAGTGATATGAAACTGTTACATCATACAGGACAGAGACCACTAGGAAGAGAAAGGGTGATTTTTGTCTCTGACTATACGACTACAGAAGGCATGGTAGATTTGTACTTTTCCAAGATGGTGACACTGGACCATATGTGTAGCTGATAGGAGAGAGGGCAGCAGAGAGGCTAGCTAGCCCCCAGTTTCCCCTAATTACCTGAATGGGTCTGGCTGCATTTTATTACTGTTTTTTTCTGGTGTTCATCAATCAGCACAGCATGTGTCGCATATAAGTCACTCAGGTAGTGGAATGAATTTAGTTTAGGCTTAATAGATAACACTGTTACCTCATGAACTTGTCCATGATATCCTCCACCCACATGTACATTCGCAGAGGGTTCAACCAGTACTGCCAAAGAAGCTTAAGAACAGTGATGATGTACCAGCCACTCTCCTCAAATACAAATTTGTCTCCACTATAAACGCCTGCCAGGTGGTTCTGGCCTTGTGTAGGAGAGAGTCCTGCATGGGGAAGAAATACCTGCTGTAAGCTAGCAAGATTTGATAGCAAAGCAACTCTCCATTCACTGCACGAGGATTATAAAAGGACCCCCCCAAAACAGAGAATGCAATAATTCTGATTAACCCATTTATCCCAATGAGGTTTTATTTCCTTTTTAAATACCTACCAATGCGGCCGGCACTTGGAACTATGAGTAATGCCCTGGCAGGGTAGTAAATTAAAGAGAGGGAAGAGAATCTTGTGCTCCCTGGGAGCAGCCACTTACCCAGTTCCTTGACAAAGGCTTTCATGTGCAGGTTAAGGGGGTGGATGACAGATCCCCCCGCTTCATACTCTTTGCCTTCCACACGGATAGTAGCCAAACGGCCCCCGACCGCTTCTCTCTCAAACAGGTCGATCTGTACATCTCTGCCAAACTTCTGGCGTAAATAATAAGCTGCGCTGGTGCCACCAATGCCAGCGCCAATAACAGCTGCAAGCACATTTCAGACAGAAGTCAGTTTCTCATTTAGGTCCTTGCCACCAGCTCTGGACTCAGGTGGCAATTTCAGTGCATGATTTGTCGGACGCTGGGGGAGTACGACCCCCCGGCTCCTCGTTTCGTGCGGGGCGCTGGTGTCACGTCACGGCCCCGGAAAGCGTCACCACCCAGCACCGGCGGGGGGCGGCGATGAAGAGCGGGGCGGGGGCGCGGTTTCACCTCCGCACATGCGCGGTGCCGCTGCGCTCAAGCCCGTCACCCCAGCCTCTTCCGCGCGCACCGCACCGCTTGTCCCCCGCGCTGGCAGAGCGCGCCGGCGGGCGGCACCGGGCCCAGCCCCCGCCCTGGGGTCCTCGCCCCGTACCGATCCTGTCGGGGGCGTTGCCCAGCGCCTGGCTCCACACGCAGCCCAGGAGCAGGAGCAGGAGGGCGAGGGCGGCAGGCAGGTGCTGGGCGCTCCGCACGTCCATTGCGAGGCTGCGCAGAGCTGTGCGCAGGCGGAGCCAGCCTGGGGGTGGGCCGTCCTCCTGGTGCCCGCCGCCTCGGGTCGGGACAAAGCATTATACTACATAGGCAGCCTGAGAAGCTTGCAATTTTGAGAGAATAGTGAGCAATTCCAGTATTGACGCCGCTGTTTTCCTTCAGTGAAATGCAAATAAAATAAATTTGTGTAATCCTGCAGTGAAATGCAAATAAAATAATTTTAATTAAAACCACCTTTTCCCCCATAATAAAACAAGTATGTTTATTACACATATATAGCAGTATGAACTGCTTGGTCTGGATCAGGCCTTAAAAGCGGTCTGGGTCACTTCAGACCTAGAAGAAAAAAGTGTAATGTTTTGCAAAGACTTAAACAACCTGCTTTAAAACAAAATCACTATTGCACTGGTTTATTATTTTTTTCTCTCAGTCACTTCCATTCAATAGAATTGTTTTTCTTCTGATCCAAACTGCCATCTGGAAATTACACAAGTTTGCAGTGCTACAGAATGAGTTCTCTACTTGGCAGCTGGTGGCTACTGCAGTCTTCATAGTTTCCCCACCCCTTTGATACATTGGAATGACCGTAGTTCTAGGGACATACCCTATTTTGTTTTATTGTTCCCCTGTTTTACTAACAATGCGGTGTGCCAGGAATCTTTTTACATACGAATCCATGTGTAAGTGTTCTAGTTACCCGAAGTAGTTTGTACGTTTACTTGATGACTTGCGTCATGTGCGTACTAGCCCCTAGGTCACAGCTGCTCTTCTAATTAAGGTTCTTTTTCAGCACTTCTGCCCTATTGCCTGCCATGACTTGGATCAAAATAAAAAAAGAGGGAGGTTTGCTGTTCGTAATTACTGGTGATCTGGGTGCTAATGAGGACTTTTTTTGCCCTCTATTCTACTTTTATGGGGCACTGTTGTGTCTAAGCTGCTGGGGCGTTATCTCTGTGGTGCTCCCGGTTATCTTATCATTAATTTTTGGTGGGCTGCAGGACTGTGGATCCCTGTATTTCCCACAGGTACATCTGTCCTGAAGCACTGCCACCCACAGTTGGTTGTTTCCCATCTCTTCAGGTTCCCAGGCTGAAATCCTTGTTGCCATGCTAATAGTGTGCTCTTTTTACCAAGTGTAGGTAAGTATGGAAACTCCTCCAAGTCTCAGGAAGAGAGAGTCTCCCACTCTGCTCCTCTGCACCTCCCAGGACATTGTCTCTGGCTTCATTTTTCTCAGTGTTCTGTCTCCTCGCTCTTCTCGTCTCTCTCTCCTCCTCTCGCTTCCGGTTGTTGCCAGGTGAGGTTTTTTTAGCTATTCTCTGTCCCGCACCCAGCCAACTGGAGCCAACAGGAGCTAACGAATTTCGGCGCTTCTGATCTTCCTGCTTCTTGTTCTTTCGTTTCTTCTCTCTCACCAGGTAAGTGTTGGTGCTCGGAGCAGCCTCCCCAGCACGTCTCGCATTGTTCGGGAACCTTCTCCTGGGTCCCTGTAGCCTCTTCAAGGTGGGCAGTTCGATCCTTGCTGCCATACCAAGTCAAAAGGATTATGGGAGGAGGGAATACAGGCAGCCACACAGAAGTTACAGAAGATCCTTTATTTTGAAACATCTTCATCTCACCCCTCATGCAATAAGGGGTCAGATTTTCACTTAATCAGCCATTTTTTAAGCTGCCTCCAGCTATGCACTTGAATTTGGTCACAGCTATATACTGCTTTCTGTGGCCAGATCGGGCAAAAATTGTCACTTCTGGAATGCCAATTCAGTTTGCAGAATGTGTGTGTGTTTCTGTTATTTATGCTGTTTGCAAAAAAAAGGCTTTTATATATTTTAGGAAATTCTTACACACTCAGAGAATTAAGTAATAATTATAAAGAAAGCAAAGAAATGCAATGAGCTCCCACTGACAGACACTTGGAGGCATCCATTAACACACTTTCTGTCTTTGAAGTATTTTCCCAGAATCTCTCCGGTGGCTGATGGCCACACAGCAGTTTGAGGCATCCAAGAAACGTATCCTTTGCTCACAAGAAAAAAATGAACACTGAATGTGATATCAAAGGAGTGATGCCGGGTAAGTAAAAGTGCCTGGCAAAGTCAGGCAGTGGAAATCCAGATAGATGAAACTTTTTTTTTTTTTTAAATAAATATCCACATAGCACAGATTGATATAATCATGTTACTATCTGTAAAATTACCCTATTTAATCGTTCTGTATTTTTTGAAAAACCCATTAGCTATGTTCCAATTACTCAGCTTGTTGAAGAGTACTAGCAAGTATATTCTCATCTTTCAGTGTTGTGCTTTTAGAGATGTCTAATGGTAAAATTCCTCATAGCTACAGAGCGTTGTATTAGCTTTGTATTTCTGGACCTTGTATCTTGAGAATATCAACAAATGGGGTTGTGCCTGTTTGTATACAGATTCATTTATTCATATGGGAAAGTGGCAGCCCCCAACCACCAAGTTGTAAGAAATTTCCATTCTAGCACAGATCTGAAAACAGTGCCAATTTCCACATCTTGCAATCTTGCGCAGCTAATCAGTTCACTTGAAGTCACTTTGCATTTGAGCCACATAGCATTTTAAAAGCAGTTTTTACTGCTGATGGTAAGATGCTTTTTCTTGGGGAATTTAAACATGGTTGGTTGGTTTGAGCTTTTAAGAAGAGTTAGGCTGCTATTGTTGAACAATTGTCACTGAAACACTGATGTTATTGCCTCCCCAGACTGCTTCAAGAAAGAGGAGCTTTATGTGACTCCTGTGTACAATTATAACAAGGGAGACTGTTTTCTGAGGCTCCTTCGTCTCATTGTTATACCTGTCAAATTCTTTTCAGGCTCCCCTTTTACTCTTCAAAGCCCCGGCAGTACACATCAATATGTATATGAACTGGCAGATAGTCAGAAATTAGGTAGTATGTTTTTAAGGTCCTTTTGTAGCTGAACTGTTCTGTGCTAGGTGAGGGTCTGCTTTCTTGGTGCATCTGTGTTCTGTGTCCATCGCTGTAAATTTCACCTCAGGACTGAAAACCCCTCCAGAACTTCATGAGCATCTGAAATCCTGATTTAAGCCAGCTAGCCAAAGGAATTTAGTGAAATTATGAGTTTTTATGCTGGATCTTTGCACCTGAGTGACTTTTATTGGTAGAGTGATATCTGTAATAACTAAGAGTGAATGATAATCTTCCTCGGTGACTCTCACATAATCCTAGTTAAGATCTTTATTTTGTTGTTGATACTCAATGGAAAGTGGCACGGTTCACCCCACAGTTATACTTGCTTGTGTACATATAGTTGTACCTTCTGAGTACAGATCACCATAGGCAGCGGAAGGCCAGGCTAATGGGGCTTAGCTCCCCACAAATGTGGCTCCACTGCTTTGGAGCCAGAGCTGTGCCCAGCGCCCCTGCCACATGCTCTGCCACAGCCCTGCAGGAGGGACGGTCAGGGTCCAGGTGGGTGCACCCTGCACAGCACCATGCCCTGCACCCCTGCCATATCCCTAGGCCCCCACCCAATCCTGTTGTTTCCCACTGCCTATGCAGATCATAGGTTATAGTTAGCAGATATGCCTTATATCTATGCCAGGAAAATAATTCCAAGAATGATTTGGAGCCTCCTGAGGCTGGAGACAAGCAGGAGAAGAAGCAGGGAGATGGAGACAAGCAGGAGGCTGGAGATAAGCTGGAGATTTCCCCTGCTCTCTCCAGCCTCCTCCTCACTCTCTGCTACTGCTGGTTATTTGGGGGGGGTGCTGAGAGAGCAAGCTGGAAGCTGGGGAACTGAATGAAGGACGGCAGGGGGGAATGAATGGGAGTGGAGGGAATTAACGGCCGGCAGGGGGAACAAGTCTCCTGCTCATTCTCCTATTCTCTCCAGCCTCTCCTGCTTGTTTTCCTGCTCCTTTCCAGCCTCCGGAGTCACGTTACATACCCTTTTGAGGCTGGAAATGGTTGGTCCTTTTTGATTTTAAATGGAATTTGTAAGCAGGTGAAACCTAATCAGTGAACAGACTCTGAGGCCTCTCAAAGGTTCATGTTATTCCAACTACTTGGTGCAGTTTAACAGCTGCCCATTTTCAGGTGACACTGCAACTAAAACTACTTCATTGAAACTAGATGCAAAAACCCATTGCTGTGTAGTAAGGTAGCTCACAGAAGGAAAAGAGATCAAATGGATTAAGTGTAAACAGACATCCTGAGAATATAACACAATGGAGCTCAGGGGAGGAACAAGGAATTTCATGAGACATTTTCCAGGGATGTCTCACTGAATCAAAGAATGAAGTTGTGACAGTGATCCTGTCCCCACCTGCACATGTGTGCAGATATGTCTGCCCAGCCTCATAGCCAACCATGTCTAAAGCTGCTGACCAATCTGGGAGGAGCAGCAGGGACATCCAGGCCATTGATAGGAGATGCTTAGCCAACAGGACCAGCATTCTTGTTGCCACACCTAAAACAAAAGTGAGACTACTGAGGGACAAGGCTATTTTGTTGCTTCAGATGACTGTTGCTGTTTGTTGCTACCATATTCTCATTAGCCTTGGACTGTGGGGTTCATTTTTATGCAAGAAGCAAGAATTCTTGAGAGTGATATCTTGCATTGGACCAGCAACACAGTTTGGATAGACATAGACAAGCTTTTAGGTACCTACCTCATTTTTCTCTGAGCAAAAGAACAAAGGAAAAAAACTCCTCTTTACAGCTATTTTATTATTAATTGCTAAACAGACATGTTGATGGTTTTCCACAACAATTTATTTTGTTTTTTTTCCCCCATTTACACTGTTTTATGCATGGAAGTGCCATTTAGAGCTTATGACACACATTTTTTCACCAAAAAAACTTGAGAGAGCACTGCAGCATTTCAGATTCTTCAAAAAGACTGATTTTTACTGATGACCTTTTTAATCAGAATTCAGCATTGAAATCTGTTTAATAAATGAAAAATTCAGTAAGTATTCTGGTAATTTTTTAAAGATTTTCAATAAAATGTCTGTAAAAATGAATCTGTTTGACCAAAAGAACT